GGCCCCGACTCTGGCCCCCCGAGACGCCCAGCACAGCAGAACAAGCGGCCGTCTCGATGTGCGTCGAGCCGCCAGAGGTCTCTGGGCCGACGACGGCGCCTTCGCCTGGCTGGAGATCGCGCTTCAGGCCTCCGAGGTCACGCCGGCTCCCGCTCTGCCCGCGGGCTCCCCTGGCCCCTGGCGCGTCCCGGTGGGGCTAGGAGGGGCTCGATGCACACGCCACGTCGCTGGGTGGGCCCAGGAGCTCGGTGCATTGGCACCCCGGCTCCCCACCCTGCGGTGCGTTGGAGCGTCGATGGAACCGATTGTTTGTTCCGCTGAGCTCTCTGTGGCTCCGTGGCCGACCGAACGACGTGGTACACATCGAGTGCACCCGAGGGGGCGCGCCGCCCGACAGAGCGCTCGAGGCAACTCTTTCCCTTTTCTTTCGCCGCGGGCCTCTCGGAGGAGCGGGCTCGAGAGTGCCGCGCGCAAAACGTGCGAGCAGCACACTGCCAAGTGCGGGAGGTGCACCTGCACCGCCTCCACGCCTGGCCGAGGATGCACTGGGTGAACACCTGCGAGCCCTACCCCCCCCCCACGACCAACGATTTTTGAGCTCCCGAGCGAAGTGAACCCCCGCTCCCGAGCGAAGCGAATCCCCACCCCCCTTAGAAATCGGGGGGGCGGGGGGGGGGTAGGGTTCACCCGTGGTCACCGTGTATGCGGCCTCCTGGCTGGATGCATCCCACATGTGGTTCGGGTAGACGGGGTCAGCGGATCGCACGGCCTCGCCGACGGCGAATCAACGGCGCCGTCAGCGTGGAGTACAGTAGGGCTCCACATCGATCCTCATCGCCGATGCATCTGTGATGCGGCGCGATCCGCTGGCCCCATCTACTCGGACTCCATTCCCAGACCTGCGACGCGGTCCCCAAAAGTCCCGACCCTTTCCCTGGAACCAGTTTTTCATCCTGAGTTGTCTTTATGTTGGTCCCGGAGCCCAGCGAGGGCCCCGAGAGGCCGAAAATGGCCCAAAACTGACAGTTTTTCAAAACGACGCGAGCATGTCGGGGGTTTGGGAGGCCTGGACTGGCAGAGGCCAGGAGGGTCTACAACACCATCCTCGGGCCCAGGACCAGCCTTGGCCGGGCGTGGTGGTGTGCAGCTGCCCTCCGCGGGATACAGACTGCCAAAGTTGATCGGGGGGGGGCGAAAGGGTAGGATTGGGCCCCGGAAGCGGCCAGGCCGTTTTTTCACCGTTTTCGAAAAATTGCCTCTTGAAAATGGAAGCGGTAAAACACGGCGACTGGAAACAGCCAAAATCACGGCTCTCGGACTGAAGCCAGAACGGGAACCAGAAACGAAAACGCCGACGGAACCGGAAAAAAACGGCGACAAAATCAACAAGACAACGGCAAAACTGAACCGGTAGCAAAAACAGCCCTGTAGTTTCCAGGGCCCGCTCAGGGTAGGATAGCAAAGGGCAGGGTAGAGAATCAGCTCGCGTAGCCGTTTTCCTGACGCCTCCTGGCGCTGGGAGGCGCCCATGTCTCGAGGACAGGGCCTGGCGGCGGGGTGGAAACCAGCTGCAGGCAGCAGCTTTCGAAACCAGCCTCGTCTGGCCCGAGCTGCGATCGCCAGGTACGTAAAGCCATCGAATTAAAGGGCCTGCTCTGCTAGCAGCCGGGCGAGAGCACGGGTCGGAGCCACGGAGGCCGGGTCTGGAGCAGTCCGCTCACACCGCCGCCTCGACGCGCTGCGGGAAGCAGAGCCAGGAGGAGAGCGGCCGGAGAAAGACAACTGGGCAAGCATGCCTGGCTGGGCGGACCGTGGGGGCGCCTCGCCGCGAACACCCGGCGGCACTCCAGGTGGCCGCGCTGTGGCCTCACAGCGCGGGCGTGGACGCCGACTTCCCGAGCGGTCCCGAGCTCAGCCTCGAGCTGACATTCTTGTACTTGCTCATCTTGAAGGCGGCGGGCGGCTCCGGCGCGCTCTGCGCCAGCTTCGCGGCCCGGGCGTTGTCGATCTGCGCCCTCATCGCCTTCGTCATCTGGACCTTGTGCTTCCGCTGCCGCCCCTCGGAGGCCTCGCCCCGCTGCCTGTAGAGCAGGTCCAGGCGGGCCGCCTCTGCGGCCTCGTAGTCGCCGTTGAGCACCTGGTGGATCGGCGTGGACGGGCGGGCCTTGATGCCGTAGGCGAAGCCGGGGAACACGTCGGACGGGATGATCTTGGGGAGAGCGCCGGTGGGCCCGGCAGGAGCCACCCGGACGTCGTTGTTCTTCCGGAACTCGGCCAGGTCCTTGGCCGTTGTCACCCTGGAGCCTGCGGTTCAGTCGGGCGTGTCCCCCTACAGGGGGATGTTCGACGAAACATAAGAAATACCCCAAAAATGCGACAACGAGGTCAAAAAATACAAACAACAAAAAACCACACTAGTTTTGGAATATGTTTGGATTAGTTTGGGGGTATTTTCTCTTTTTCGCCGAACATCCCTCTGTAGGGGGACAGGCCCGACTTGAGCCTGCGGCCATCTTGTTCATTCTCAGGAAGTCCCTCCGGTCCGGGCCCTCCCTCGGCCCAGGCACGTGCGCCGCCCAGCTGTTCAGGACGTCGCCGGCTCCCTCCATGTCTGGCGCCTCGGCCCGGCCGAACGCGTGGCTCTCGTGGGGCAGGTCGTAGGCGCTCGGCTTGCCCCTGCCGACGTCGTCCCGCAGGAGGAGGGCGTTGCAAGAGCGGTTGCGGAACGATGCCGACATCTCGACCGGGCCGCCTGTGGCTCTTGTGCGGGCCAGGGGTACAACTGCGAGGCTTGAGCCAGGGAGTCTTGAGCCAAACTGGCTACGTGGTCCGACCCCGACGGCACGAGGTGCTTCAGCACATGGTGTGCGCCTTGCGAAACATCCTGCTCTGCCCTGAAGCGCGCATGCGCGCCAAGATGACCGACTACACTTCAATATGGTCTCAAAGACGGCCCGAGGTGTCTAGAGGTTGCCGAAGTGGCCTCCAGCATGGTCCGAAGAAGCCCCACACATGGCATGAATGTGTGTGCGTGTGTGTTTGTATGTGCGTGTGCTTGTGCGTGTGTTTGTGCGTGTACGTGTGTGTGTGAGTGAGTGGGTGAGTGGGTGAGTGAGTGAGTGTTTGTGTGTGTGTGCGAATGTGTGTGTGTGTGTGTTTGTGTGTGTGCGTGTGTGTGTGTGTGTATGTGTGTGTGTGTGTGCGTGCGTGTGTGTGTGTGTGTATGTGTAGGTGTGTGCGTGTGCATGTGCGTGTGCGCGCGCGTGTGTGTGTGTGTGTGTGTGTGTGTGTGTGTGTTTGTGTCTTTGTGTGTTCAAGCTTGGGATGGAGCCTCCCAAGGAAAGCCCTGGAGAGGTGAAGCACCTTAGCAACACGTGTTTCCCCACGCTGTTCAGCCGCCGATGGGCCTACGATGCCTCATCATGGCTACAATACGCGCCCCCAACCAACTCAATGACACCATCCATGGGCCCGAGCCGCCGCTCCCAGGAGCAGCCCGAGAGAGTCGCAAAATGCGTCGAAGAAACACCGGATAAGTACAACATGCAGCAAGTCGGTGCGCCTTTTGGTTCGAGACGAGGGGCGCCACGCAAGTCCCACAAAGTCTTTGCCCCGCACCAGTCAATAGAATGTACGGGTGGGTGGGTGTATGTATGAATATAAATACACATATAAAAAGAAAGATGCATAAACCCACGCATGCACACAAACACACAGACACACGAAACCTTTTTCCACGTCTGCGCACGTGTAAATCCATGGTGGCCTTCCTGTGGAGAGCGCGTCTACCTCGTGAGCCGTACCCGTCCGCCACGTAAGGCGCTTCCGCCCGCGCGAAAACACCAAGCGCACAGGCGTGCTTCCGAACACGCACGCTCCGCCTGCCCTCTCCGCTGGTGCCCTCCCTCCTTGTTTCGCCTCCTCGTCGTGCGTCCGCCTGCCCTCTAAGCGGGTCGTACTGCTGCGGGGCAGGGGCCCCCAGGGACCCTGCGGACGCCCAGCTGCGTTCTCACGCGCACGCCTCCGCCTTGTCTTTTCCGACGCCTGCGGGCCCCCCTTCTTGATTCGACCCTGGATGCCTCATGGATGGGCCCGGAGGATCGCGCCGCAGCGCAGATGCTTCCATCATGCGTCGGCAGTATATCGGCGACGACGGCGGTGCATCGGCGTGGAAATAACCGGGCTCCGCACCGAACCGCATCGCCAACGCATCGGCGATGTGGCGCGATCCTTCGACCCCACCTGCTCCGACTTCATCGCAGAGGCTTAGAGATTTCAGGGGCGAAGCGCGGTGAGAAAATATGTTTTTGTTTCGAGCGATCCCCACCGAAACCTTCGGAGTTTGATCCCCTAGGTGCGCGCGCTCATTGGAACGATGTGCGCAGGGCGCGATGGTCTCGGCCAGTCCAGCGGTGGGCCATGTCGAAAGTTGTGCCGCGAGGTGCGGTGTTATGCTCTGCTATGCTTTGCTAGGTTATAGCATATTATGCCGCGCCCTGTCCATGTTAGGACGTGCCAATGAATGGCATGTTTTGTGCTGTGATGATGTGTCATGTTGTAGTTTGTTTTGTCATGGTATAGTATGTGATGTTAGAAAGAGCGCGTTCCATGGTCGCCTGGACGGGGGGGGGTTGGAACCGGCCCCGCCCCCCCCCCCCTGGATGGAGGGGGGGAGGTTCGAACCCCCCCCCCTCCCCTACTTCTCCTCTCTCCCTCCTCGGCTGGAGGCGGCGGCGGGGACGACGATTTCCTTTTCTGGGCCGGCGCTGGCGCCTGCGGCGGCGGGCGGCGGCGGCGAGGAGCGTCGACGAGGACGACGGTGATGGTGGTGGTGGTGGTGGGTTGTGGTGGTGGTGGTGGCGGTGGTGGTGGTGGCGGTGGTGGTGGTTGTGGTGGTGGGGGTGGTGTGGTGGTTTGTTGTGGTGGTGGTGGTAATGGTGGTGGTGGTTGTGGTGGTGGTGTGGTGGTGGGTGGTGGTGGTGCGGTGGTGGTTTGGGGTGGTGGTTGTGGTGGTCGTGGTGGTGGAGGGTTGTGGTGGTGGTGGTGTGGTGGTGGTGGTGTGGGGGTGGTTTGTGGTGGTGGTGGTGGTGGTGGTGGTGGGTTGTGGTGGTGGCGGTGGTTTGTGGAGGTGGTGCTGCTGGTGGTGGTGGCGGTGGTGGTGGTGTGGTGATTTGTGGTGGTGGTGGTGGTGATGGTAGGTTGTGCTGTTGGTAGTGGTGGTCGTTGAGGCGGTGGTGGTGGTGGCGTGGTAGATTGTTGTGGTGGTGGTGGTAGTGGTGGGTTTTTGTGGTGGTGGTGGTGATGGTGAGTTGTGGTGGTGGTTGTGGTGGTGGTGGTGGCTGTGGTGGTGGTGGCGGTTGTGTGGTGGGTTGGTGGTGGTGGTGGTGATGGGTTGAGGCGGTGGTGGTGGTGGTGGTGGTAGTGGTGGTGTTTTTTTTTGGGGGGGTCAGCGATCCCCTGGGGGCATGAACTAAGTTTGAAACAGCGAGTCGGCCACGATGGCCGACGAGACCAGCTCAGCCGCTGAGCACGTGTAACGCACAGCACAGCGGGTGAGGGACAGCATGCGGGAAGAAAAGGACGGTCCCGAGGGGCCCCAGATCTAGCCCACATCGCCATCGAACAAAACCTGGTCACGTTGCGTCGCCCACGGGCGCAGCAGCAGGCCTTGCCACCGCCGACGCTTCACGGGCCTGAATGCGAACCACAAGCGCCGCCATACCTGTCGTCTCTATCAGCCCAGACGGCGAGAGCGGCAGGCTGACATCTGGCGGCGGAGGCCGCTGAGACTCGTAGCAGAAGAAAGCCACTCCACGCCTCGAAGATTCACTCACCGTGCTATTGTCACAATAGTGAGGATAAACGCCTGAAAAGAGCCGCCTCAGCACGGTGGCGCCACCAGCTAGACGGCGCTGAAGGCACTCTTTGCCAAGCATATGGCAGCGCGCGGAGGAGTATGCTCCGCGCGCGGTGCCAAAGAAAAGGGTGAGCCTCTGTTCACCTTTGCTTACAATGCAATGCGCCAGCGAGTGTCCCAAGGACCGATCCAAAACGCCACGCCAAAGCCTACTGGGCCCTCGGCATTCCAACATGGGTCGCGCCACCAGATCGGTGGACAGACAAAGACAATGCAAGCATCGGGCGCAGCCCTGACCAATCTCTTGCCAGGACTGCCACCCTCCCGATTTTTTTTTTTATTATATATATATATATATATACATATATATATATATATATAATATATAAAAAAAAAAAAAAAAAAAAAAAAAAAAAAAAAAAAAAAAAACTTAGCCCTCGGTCCCGCGGGCTGACGCTCAAACTTCTCGGGAGGAAAGGTGGCTAAGCACAGCGCCCGCCACCCCCGCAGCGAAAACCAGCAAATCGCACTTCCTGTCCACCTCCGTACGTTCATGCACACTGGGTTGGGGGTGGAGGAGGAGAGCTTGCTTGGCCAGGGCGTCAGCTTTCAAGTTGCCTATGCCAATCCGTCTCTCGTGCGCTGGTAAGGCGTCAAGGACAGCGCGCGCGCGGTGCGCAGGAGCGCGGTGCACAGACGGGATAGGAGACTCTTCATGAAGGAGGGCGCCCCTCCGAAGGCCAGCATAACGGTGCTTATTAAAAACCTGGTACTCCCGCGTCGCCACACAGATGCGCGCCACACTCATGCAATCGGTGCGGCGGTCGCCGCCGTTGCTCTGAAACATCGGGGGGGGGGGGGGGGCCAGGCAAAGGCGCTCCGCAGCTTGGGAGGTCTGGGGGAGAACCGAAAGCACCGCGCCGCTGGCGTACGCAATAATAGTGTCACCTTCCCCCAAGAACACCCAAGAGTAGGCAGCCCTGGACAGCTCCCTAACGGTGGGGCGACAGGCCGAGCCGTCCATGACGACATCGCAACCCGAGAGGTCCACAGAACCCCAATCAATAATGCCCCCTTCAGGAGAGTACATGATGGGTTGAGTGGCCGAGGACGGAGGGGGGTAGGAGGCCTCAGGGTGCCCCCACTTTAACTCATCAAAGAACAAACGGCCCTGACTTTCAAGAGCTTCGCCCAGCCATTCAACGGGAGAGTCATCCGTAACACTTTTCCGAGCCGCGACGGTCTCAGGGTGAAAACACGGCCGAACGCGGTGCCGCGCGCTATCAGGCATCCCGCACTTCGGGCAAAGCCCGTCGCACGAGTATCCGGCAGCCTGGGCCCTCGCCCTGGTCCAAATACCCTTGCAAAAGACGCTCAATGCCACGTGCTTTTGCTGAGGGTTGAGTTTTCTTCCCTTGGGGCCCAACAAGGTTTCAAGGGGACCCGCGCAAAAACGGACGCCGTCGGCTCCAGGGGTGTCCTGACACAAAACGCGCCCGTGTTTTCGTTGGACCGCCAACTGCAACAGGTGGGCCAACATAGCAGGCGAGGTGCAGCCCAAATGCACCTCTGGACCGTAGTCGTCTTCAAAGGTGCGGGGGGTCACCGACTTCCACCCTGCCCCAGCCAAAGACAGATGCATGCGCTGCAGAGGTCCTCGTGAAGAGCGCCACGTGACCTTGCCATCAAAGGGAACAGAACGCCAAATCTGAGCAATCTCCCTGCTATTTTACCTAGGGACCGACGGGGTGGTGAGGGCCAGCCAAACAACCGAAGCCCGCTGGAGGGCTGGCGCCACAGACGGTCTCCACACGGGGTCCCCGAGGACCACCAAACGCGCCTGAAGGGGGCATCCTCGGTGCCTAGGGAGGTGCGACGACAAGAGCACGCGCTGAGCCACTTGGAGCTCGCCCTGACGCACCCCCCACAACCGACGAGCCAAAGCTGGCCGCGGGCAACGCACCT